GTTTATAGCCGCACGAAGTAATCTTCATGCACTACTCTAAGTTGATAGGTGACCTTCATTGACGCCCGAGTATTTCAGCCAGGCCTGCAGCCTTGTAAACAGAGCCCAGATTGTGCGGTGTTATATAACTGTCCTTTGTTCACGAACCTGGCTCAGTGCACTGCTGACCTCTTTTCAATAGGGGCCAGATTAGTGTGCAGCAGTGCTGTGTGGCTCATCGCTGTGGTGGTGGAGTGCTTTTGTCCCCGGTGGTAACCCGCTCGCTCTCAATGCCCCAAACCCTGTTATAGGGTTTCAAACAAGGCTGGATTATCACCACTTTTGAGAGTGAAAAATGCCGGTAATGCCCAGCAGCCTGGTCTTTTGTTCGGAGTACGGTATTTTGTTACAGGGCCCTGTTTCCTTTGTCCGAGTTCGGAGACCCCGGCCACCCATATAAACCATACATATCCGATCCCGGAGTCCCCGGCAGGAAGTGGTTAAATGTGCCTGAAAGCCTGGTTCCCACTAGGGCAAATGTTTGCTCTATGTCACAAATTGGCATTTGTGTTCACTTTTGTTCACTTTCACATAGATCATGCCCAGAAGTGTCGCATACACACTGTCTTTTTTGCCTCTCATCCAAACGGCAGGTGCAAGCCATGGATCTGGTCGATAACCAGCAAGCTCTTTTTACCGACATCGCCTTTACTATTGACCTGACAGGCGTCGATTGCAACCAGGCCGGCTACTCATACCTCTGCGTCACCCTGGATTCGTCTGAGGCATGTGCCACATCATGGTGCCAGTCACCAGAAGCTGTCGACACAGCTTGCACTCCAATCTTCTGTTCTTGTGAGTTGCTGATTCTGTTGTCCCAAGCACCTTCTCTATCTATGAGAAGTTAGGCAATCATAATTTAAACTGGCAGTTTCTGTTTTCACAGTATAAAGAATGCATTTCAGCTTTTAAAAACTCATTTCAAGAAGGGTTATACCTTGGGTTAAAAAATACGGCCTCTGTTGACTGCACACGTAGCACTTCTTCTTTGCTCCTCTTCCAGCTAATGTCGAACTGAATGTGGACTCGGTGGTTGTGTCTCTTCCTCCGGATGCCATCATTTCTGATGGCATTCTTCAGGATTTGACTTTCAACCTGGACTTCATCCCATCCCCTGGCTCGGCTGCGCCAGTCAACAGTGCCGGATTGGACCGCTACGAGGTCAAAGGTTTCCTCTCTGTTGATGCGTCTGGATCTGTCCAAGTCGCCACAGAGGTCGTAACTCTGACCCCAGCTCAGGACTCCATGGACGTTGCTGACAGCGTAGTCTCAACATTCCTTGACCTGACTGTGACCCTTGACCTGACAGGAGTCAGCTGTGCAGGGGGAATCTATACCCATTTCTGTGCAGAACTTCAGCCATCTGTTGAAGCATCTAAAATCTGGAAGCAATCTGACAGTGCCGTAACAATCGGTTGCTTCCCCATCTGCTGTGCTGGTTCGTTTCTGTCGATACTTTTCTGAAAATGCATAAACCGTTCATAAGCTAAAGAAGTACCTTTGCAGATAAGACATTAACAAGAATGTTGACGACGTCATCAAACTGCTGTCATCACATTTCTCATCACTTCATTTCCATGACTTTGGTTACAATTTCCAATAAGGCATTTGCCATTTTATGTAGACAAGAGACATAGTCTTCTAGTTAAAGAGTACAATATATCCCGTTTGCAGAATCTGTTGATGTCAACCTTGATGGTCTGACCATCGACTGGCCAACTAGTCTCATTATCCATGACGGTGGGGTCGCCAACATATTCCTGTGTATCTACCTGAGCACCACACAGGCCGCGGACGTCATCAATGCCATTCCCAATGGGGTTGACCGCTATGAAATCACCACATGGCTGGCTCAAGACTCGGCGGGTAACGGGGCGGTGGCCACCACCAAGGCGCAAATTCTGGAGAAGTTCCAACTGCAAGAACTGACCAATGGTGTGCAGTTCATGCTTGCCGAGGTAAGAGATATTTTTTTTTTAGTTTTAGGCCTGATTGATGAGGTTGTGAGTAACATCAAGGTTGTGTAAAATACAAGTGCTATGAATAGATTTGTTAGACACTTTGCCTCATATTGCACTCCAGCATAAGCCATGATTGAAAGTCTGTGCTCAAAAATCCACTGTCGTAGCTTTGGAATTTCAACATGCATGCAATAAAGGTTTAGGTTCCTTGTTGATACAATTTCATTGTGCACTCCGTTCAAAATGTGTCCGAATAGACCTAGCTGTATCCATGGCTAGCAGCTCCCTGAAGAAGTCACGGACCGTTTTATCACTGTCACTTTGCAGACCTTGCTGTGACTACTGTGAACCTTCTCTACACAGGTTAGAAGCAAGAGCAGATTTAGGGGGCAACAGGGCTGTACCCCACCCAAAAGCCATTTTGTTCAGGAAACTGTTTCTGAGCAGCTGCTTAATTGTGACCGGTGCAATCAGTTAATGCAAATTGCACCTGGAACACTGCTTGTTTTGGCCCCCAAAAAATTTGGGTCTGGATCTGCCCTTGATTAGAAGTGGATGGTATGGGGACCAATGAATAAGCTGTCTTCTATTTTTTGTCTTTTGTCTCAACCAGGTTGATGTTGAGTTCGACTTAACGTACATCGACTGTCACGAGATCCACATCTGGGATGTGTGTATCGACATCCAGCCCGCACCTCCAGCACGATGTTACTGGAATCAACTCCCTACTGCAATCAACCAAATATGTACACCAATCTACTGTGTCCGTAAGTGCCAACATGATGCCTGTGGAAAGTTGGCTTGAATAACCATGACTCTCCAAAGTCCATTTGACAGTGTTTGGAGATATTAAGGATATCGTGACGAAATACCAACTACCGGTTACTTTGCAAGGGACTGCATGCCCCTTGAAACTTGAGGATAGGGTGAAAGTTTCCTGGCAATAAATGCCAAGGGAGTTGGTTTAGAGGTCACACCCAAATGCATTAATTTGTTGAGCTACATGTGTGAATGGAGAGGGTACTCACACCTAGCAACGGGCCTTCATTGCAGCCAACACATTGATCACGTGCAGGAATGCATCACAGATGACAATTAAAATACATAGGCCTACGTGTCACAGAATTAAGACTTTATTCTTGAAATATATGGGTTTCTATGTAGAAAGCAAGATGTGTCAACAATCCCGTGTTCTAACAGTGCTGGTTTATCTATAGTTGGGTCAAAAGGAAAAATATGGTAGTTATGTGGACGAACTTTCTTTCTGCTCATATTTCAGCCAATGTTGAACTCAATGTTAACGTGCTGGACATCACCACGCCGCAATACGTTGTTGACGGTGGTGTCACATCTTTGACATTTGACCTGAAATTCACCCCTACAACTGGGTCATCACCTCCAGTAAACAATGCCGGTGATGATCGCTACCTTGTGATGGTTTACTTAGCACAGAATCTACACGGAGATTACCCTGCCGGTGAGTTCCAGTTTGCATTCCAGAGAGCACTGATTTGGGGAAACACACAGTAAATTATATATACCAAGTATGCTTAATGAAAATGAGGCTCTAAATGTGCAAGAAAAGTGAACAAGCTCGTAAAGTTTCACGGGTCACAATTCTTTCTGAGGAAATATAATGCTCACTTTAACCCAATTTTAGCAGTTTTGTTTTTGTTGTATTTGTCAAATGGAGTTTCGTTATTAAAAAATGAAAATGTGATGAACCAGTTTGTAGAGGCTCTGTTTTTTTATTACTGCAGATTCAAATAAATCCTGCTGAGAACTGGTAGCTCTTTTTTTGACGTTGGAGTTTTTCCTGTGCGGTATTATTAGTTTAGATCATCTGGCTTGTATGGTGCATCTTCAGTTAAAGTCAGGTCTTTGTTCCTGCGATGGTGACTCACCGTGCAAGACCCTCTGCAGAATAGACTACTAATAAAATAACAACAGCAGCTTTTTGACGAGAAAAGGCCGGATTGGGTGCCTCAAGATGGCAGCTAACTCAAAAAGACTTCTCTATTATTAGTAAGATTTGTCTTAAGTGGAGTTAATGGTAATACTGTTTCCTTTCTTGAAACAAATTTCGGTTGCTAATACAGCATTTGCTGAGGCAGTTCTGACTCCAGCCCAGAAGAAACTGGACATCACTGACAATGTCCAGTCTGTGTTTGCGTCACTGACCGTCAACCTCGACCTCACTGGTGTGGACTGCTCTACGGCCAAGTATAAGTACATTTGCGCCAATCTGCTGCCCTCCATAGCCGCCAACAGGAAATGGGCTCAGTCTTCCGAAGCCATCATTACTGCCTGTGCAAGTGTGCCCTGTGTCTGTGAGTTGTTTTATTGAAGCCTTCGTTTCCAGCAAGAGATTTTGGAATGTTTGTTTGCAGCCTTGCAGTACAGAGTTTTTAAAATGTCTATTTTTGGGCAAAAGGCAGGATAAATCTAAGATCACAATGAGGCACTTCTTTTAATGTCAAAACATTTAACCCTAACAGCCCTGAATCCTCCAATTTTAATATGATTTTGCACACATCCTAGGGAGTTAGGGTTAAATGTTTACTGATGCACCGATTGATGAGAAACTCTGGACCTTGTGAATGTTATTCGTCAGTACACTCTGCTAATTTGTAGAAGTAAATACAGACAAGCTTGGGAAACCATCCAAATGAACGTACCAAACCAGCAACAATGATCCATTTATATAGAAAGTCATCTTTTCTGTTCCTTTACTACTCTCACATCAAGCGTGTCACGATGAATACCAGACGTACGGTGATGGTGTATGGCATTTCATCTTCGGTCATCTCCAGACAAGTCACATCACCTTTGCGGTGAGAGCCAGCAGCTATGCCCACGTGGGCCTATCTGCCGAAAACAAACATCTGCCAGTTATGTACGAGATCATCTTTGGTGGCTACAGCAATAGCATGGTGCTCCTGAGGAGAAAGACGGATGGTGATTTTGTCGCTTCGGTAACGGTGAAACCTTTTCTTAGTTTCAATTATCAGGTTATATATGCCCTAGAAAACTCAGCTACAGAGAGATTGATGAACTACGCTGACAATTACATATACTTAAAAGCCCAACATGATTCTACTTAATTACTATACATTTTAGGCCGCGCTGGCTGGTGTCCTGTCTCAACACGAGTATCGCACATTTTGGATTTGGTGGCACCATGCCACAATCATCGTTGGCATTGGCAGTTCGCACGAACCCATCCTGACCTACACTGACCCTGATCAGCTGTGGATCAAGTACTTTGGTTTTGCTACTTCCTACCAAAGCATTGGTTACTGGCATTTCTGCAATGTTGGTGAGTTTGCCTATGTAAATATTGTTCTCTTATGGCACATGGTTGTTACTCAAACGGCAATGCGATTTCACTTCTAAAGTCAGATGTCACTTTTAACTCCACAACATTTCATCTTCTGAAAACTTTTGTTTCCTCATCCTTTTGTAGAGTATGGCGGCCTTCCTCCACATATCGTCTACCCTCCAATTTCAGGTAGGTGAATTCTTGCTACGTGACTCATAGATTCCAGTGCTTATTCAAACCTACATTTTGTCAAGGCTTTCAGTTGTCAAGTCGCTTTCTTGACACTTTGCACTGCTTGTCTTTTGCAGACTGTGATGTGTATGTCCCCACGCACACCTATGGCAGTGATCCGTACCAGTACATATGGAATACAGGCCTTCTTCAAAGCCATACAATTCACTTTCAGGTAATCGATTCAGTAGCATTTACAAAAAACCCACTGAACAAAACCTGACCGCATTATATTACCATATCATGTGATATGTATGCCAGGCTAAGAAAGTCAATAACACCCTTTGAAGTGATTGTGTTTTCTCTTAAACAAAACAAGTTTGAACGCTTTGCATTAAAGCAGGAAATTAAATAATATATCAAAGGTGATCTTTTCCAACAAGAAAAATAAGTGAGAAAACAGGGAAAACAACAAGAAGAAAGTAGTGTTCGGGACTCAAACTTAACCCCAGACATCCAACATCTATCTATTCTTTCTGCTCTATTTCGAACAGGCCAGCTCGACCAACCTACTTTCCTCTCTTCTTACTGTGGCATAATTCTGGTGCCATTATAATGTACATGTATCACTGGTCTGCTTTGAACAGTAGAATTTGCCATAAATTTTCCTACCTCAAATGTTTATATTAACTGCGATGGGTTGTAGGATTGGACGGTATTTCTGAAAGGTAGCCTCATTATGCAGGACAGAAAATTCAACTGCACAGCCTTTAATTTCAAAAGCTACTTTAAACATATTACTAATGGTAACAAGTGAATTGTTCATTGTCACTGCAGTTAATTGGTTTGTCTGGTTTATTTGAATGAATTAATGTACATCACCGACATCCAGCTTGCAACATTCTTGCCTGTGTCCATAAAGTTTCTACCCGCTGGTGTTTCTTCCCAATGTCTCCAGGAGCTTGTATAACCATTGTATCATTGCTCAACATTTTTAATTGAACAAAATGAAATGAAGGAGTCTTTAACTCTCTTGGTGTAGTAAGTCATTTGTGTATGTATCAAAGTTTAATGGCTTTACATATCAATTGGCTTTTTTTTTGGCAGAGCATATGTGATGACGTTGTGTGATATTGCACATTGGTGCACATTTGATCTGTTTACAGGTCTATGCATACTCCAACGTCTACATTGCCCTGTCTGCTGAGAACAACAACCTACCTGACATGTATGAGATCATTATTGGATCCTCACATGGTGTTGGGGTGTCAATCGCCCGCTGCGCTGGCTGTAGCCCTGTGGCGTATGCCGCTCATCCATGGGTCTTGAATTTCTACTCCTTCACCAGTTTCTACGTGAGCGTCTCTCCAGATGGCACCATCACTATCAGGTACAGACTAAGACATGGACATGATGGGAGATGGGATGGTAATATTCTATGTGTGAAATAGTTTCAGTTGAATGGTGCATTACACTTCATGAGTTCTTTTGGCAATGAGCCATACACAGGCATAGTTTACAGAGGCAGTCTGTCACTGTTTCTGCAGAGGCAGAAACAGTGACCAGAGAGATTCCTTCCTTAACATGCAAATATTCATATCATACTATTTTGTGGTGCATTTCAATTACGTTTCATTTGTTAAGTCACTTCAATCAATGATTGCTTTCATTTTCCACTACAACTGATGTCCATCAGAAATTAAGCTCTGTCATACCTGCCCATAACCATTCAGTGGCATAGCCACGGGGGCGCCTGAGCGGCATGTGCCCCCCCCCCCACAAATTCCCAATGCCCCCAGGTGCCCCCCTCTAAAAAAAACATAGAAAGGGCTATTTAACAGGGCTAACAGAAACTTGCCCCAAAAGCCAGACCACTGAAAGCTGGTGCCGCCCCCCTAAAATCCTAGCTACGCCACTGTAACCATTGTCAGTTTTTCTCATGCAATTATTAACAATCAAAGGAATACAGACTGCGTAAAGATTGTAAGGAAATAAAATTGGGTATCATACCTCCCATCTGGTACTCTTTCCTGTCTTGACCTCGTAACAGCTATACCAGTGCCCAGTACATCTTACTGACCTGGCAGGATCCTAATCCTCTACCAGTCTCTTACTGCGGATATTGCACTGGAGGCCAACATAACGTTGGACTCTGGCGGTTCTGTGGAATCGGTGAGTATCTCTATGATGTTTCCTAAAACAAACAGAGGGGAAATACTTCATTTTGAACTTAAAGCTAAAAACATGTTTTAAAATCCAAACTCTGTGTAAACAAGTGGGAATGGCTGTAAATACTTCCCTACAGCTTTTGAATTTGAATCCGTCCATATTCATGATTATGGGGTTTGGGATTAAAGACTAACAGGCTGGAGATTCCTAACTATTGGTTAGGTTTATTCGTATATTAATCAAAATAAATGACAAATACTCATTCATGCACTTAATTTCAGTTCAACATAGAAATTACTCATGATCAGCGATATGTAAATTTCAGGATATTTTCAGCATGAAGCTTGCCTTGTATTTCGCAGCCAGTGTATCTAGTTGCAAATCTAAAAGAAATCTCAGATTTCCCTCTTCTTCTAAAGCTTTCGTGTAAAAGCTAAAAATGAATGTCAACTTGTATTTAATTCAAAAAGGCTCATTGAAATGTTCTGATATCTCTCTGCAGATTCTCTCCTCCCATGAAAGAATTGATACCCACACGTTTGGTGTTCCAGAGATTCAAGCATCATGACTACATTAATTGGAATAGTAACCATAGAATGACATACTAAACTGAAACATGAATATTATCTCTCCAATAAACATAACTGACGACATATGTGGACACGGTGACTGAAAAAAACTGGCAGATTTTCAGGCTCTTTTTATCAGCTATTGTGCTACCCTGCATGTAGAGGAATCACACCTCATGTTTCAGTACTGTTCAAATAATGGATAGTATAATTGAATAATTGAGACAATTTAATTTCATCACTGACGAGCCTGCAAAACAGTACACATGCTGAAAATGGAGGGAAGACTGACTTGTTCTATGGTGTGTCACCAGGAGTTACAGTAAGCTTCACTTATTTTCTTCTTTGAAAAGCAGATGATGATGTTAAGTCAATGGTTTAGAAATATTGAGCGCTTAATAAATGTGTGATCAGGCAAATGAGAATTTGTGCTCGTGTTGCTTGAATTTTGAATGATGTGTCATTAGTTTTTGCATTAGGTCCGTTGCAATGCCTAAACCAAGCTGAAAAGAGGGCTCACATTTTAAAATACAGAATGA